TGGGAAGACTTGTCCAATGGTAAGAGTGGAGTCTTGAAGTCTCCCACTATTACTGTGTGGGGCTTGATGTGTAATTTAAGCTTTAGTAATGTTTCTTTTACACACGTGAATGCCTTTGTATTTGAGGCATAGATGTTCAGAATTGAGACTTCATCTTGATGGATTTTTCCTGTGATGAATGTGTTATGGTCCCTAACTCTTTTGACTAATTTAGTTTGAAGACTATTTTGTTGGATATTAGGATAGCTACATCAGCTTGTTTCTTAAGTCTATTTGATTGCAAAATCTTTTCCCAACACTTTACTCTGAAGTACTGTCTGTCTTTGTAGTTGAGGTGTGTTTCTTGTATGCAACAGAAGGATGGATTCTGTTTTTATATCCAGTCTATTAGCCAGTATCTTTTTATAGTTAAATTGAGTCCAATGATATTAAGGGATAATAATGACCAGTGATTGCTAGTTCCTGTTATTTTTGTTTTTGTTGGTGATAGTGGCATTGTGTGTGAGTTTCCTTTCTTTGAGATTTGCTGGTGTGGGATAATTCATTGCCTGTGTTTTTGTGAATATAGCCAAATTCCTTGGGATGGGGTTTTCCTTCTAGTACCTTTTGTAGGACTGGATTTGTGGATTGGGTTAGTATTGTTTAAATCTGGTTCTGTTATGGAATATCTTGTTTTTTCCATCTATGGTGATTGAAAGCTTTGCTGGGTAAAGTAGTCTGGGCTGGCATCCATGGTCTCTTAGTGCCTGCATAATACCTAAGCAGGACCTTGTGACTTTCTTTGTTTCCATTGAGAAGTTGGATGTTATTCTGATAGGTCTGACTTAGTATGCTACTTGACCTTTTTTCCTTTGAAGCTCTTAATATTCTTTCCACATTCTGTATGTTTAGTGTTTTATGTGACCAGTGGATTATTATTTTTTTTTTTGTCCAGTCTATTTGGTGTTCTGTAAGCTTCTTGTACTTTCACAGATAGTCTTTCTGCAGGTTGGCAAAGTTTTCTTCTATGATTTTGTTGAATATATTTTCTGTGCCTCTGAACTGGACTTTTTCTCCTTCTTATCTATTATTTTTAGGTTCTGTCTTTTCATGGTGTCTCAGATTTCCTGGATACTTTGTATTAAGAATATTTTGGTTTTAACATTTTCTTTGATCGAGTAATCTTTTAAATTTATTTTTATTTTACTTATTTATTTACTTTGGTTTTTCGAGACAGGGTTTCTCTATGTAGCTCTGTCTGGCTGTCATGGAACTTGCTCTGTGGACCAGGCTGGCCTCAAACTCAGATATCTACCTGCTTCTGCTTTGAGTGCTGGGATTAAAGGCATGCACCATTACTGGCTGGCTTTCTTTTAATTTTTGGGATTATAATTTAATTACATTTCTTCCTTATCTTTCCTCTTTCTCCAAGCTCTCCATATATCCTTCCCTGCTCTTTTTAAAATTTTTTTACTAATTGTTGTTCCTCACATATATGTATGTTATGTATATATTATGTACATATATATCTTCCTAAATACATCCTGTTGAATCCATATATTACTTGTATATATGTTTTCAGGTCTGACCATTTGGCACTGTACACTAATTGGCATGCTCTTTCCTCAGTTGCCTATAATTCTTTGTGTTGGGTTGAGGCCTCATGGGCTTTTCCCTAACCAGTTTGGCATGTTCATTGGTGTCATTCTCCCTGACATTTGGGTGATCATGTTAGTGAGACTTTATTTGTGTATCATATGATATTAATAGAAGACTCAATCTCACAGCAAACTTAATCCCTCTTCTGTAAGGATCTCTGAGCCTTGGATGGAATTGCAGTTGTATTGTGGATGTATCTGTCAAGACATCTACAACTCTGCATTTTTATTGGTTGTGGTTTTCTGTAGTGGTCTCTGACAGTTTCAAAGAGAGGTTTCCTTGATTAGGGATGAAGACCACTCTTATCTGCTTGTATAAGGACAAATGTTTATGGATGGTAGTTAAGGGCTATGTTGGTTTAGTAAAATAGTGGTGGTAGATTCTCCTCCAGTAACCACCATTTTACTAGTACTGGGTAGTTAGCTAGGTATCTAGTACCAGGCATGGTTTTCCTTTTGATGAGTGGGTCTTAAGTCCAATTAGAGAGCTGTTGGTTACTGCCAAGGTGTGTGTGGCACTATTGCAACCAAAGGGTTATCATGCCATGCTAGTTGCTTATATGGTTCATAGATGTCATAGCTAAGTAAGACTGTTGGCTATCTTCTTCATTTTTAAAAAGTGACAGTAAGATGTCTCAGTGGATAGAGTACTTGCCACAAAAGCCCGACAACCTGAGTTTGATTCCTAGAACCCGCATAAATATAGGAGAGAACCAATTCCGCAAAGTTGTTCTCTGGCCTACACATACATACCATAGCATTCATGTACCTCCCTTCCATCCCACAAAATAATAATAATAAATTAAAAAGTTAACATAATAGTGCATAAGCCGGGCAGTGGTGGCACACACCTTTAATCCCAGCGCTCAGGAGGCAGAGGCAGGTGGATCTCTGTGAGTTCAAGGCCAGGCTGGACCGACAACCTCCAAAACAATACAGAGAAACCCTGAAACCTGTCTCGTAAAAACCAAACCAAAACAAAACAAAACAAAAAACAACATAATAGTGCATAGATATCTGTGTTTAGGAAACTGTCATAATGCAGGAGTACTGGGTTTCAGTTTATTCTTGGATGAATTTAACTCTTACAATGATTGTTCTGCTTATAATCAGTAAATCAGGAAATAGTAAATCAGAAAATATTATTAGGTTAAGTGTGGTGTAGTGCATTGCCTTTAATGCCAACATTTCAACACTTGGGAGCAAGAGGCAAGTAAAGTTCCAGGCCAACCAGAGCTAAATAGTAAGATCCTTTTTCAAAAAGAAAATGCTATAGGTAATCATGCTGTTTCCTCACAATTTACAAAGTTGGGGAGCTATAAACAGTAGTCATTGTGCTTAGAAAGCTTCTGCTAGTTTGTGATGGTATGGAAATATCCTATTGCAGAGGAACATGTAGCTAAATCCTGCCGCGGACCGCTCTGGCGGAGAGTATCAGACCGCGGGAGCTCAGGGTCGAAGGTATCAGGAGAGGTCAGGATACGGCGCAGGAAATGACAGACAGACACCAAGAGTCTTAGTGAACTGCTGTAATTTTACTGAAGTTTAAACTTCTCTTATATAGTGATAGAAACAAGGAACAAGGATAGAAAAAATACAATTCATGTTACAGCTGAATCATGATTTTTTAGAATTTGAACATCTCAGCGAAAAGTTTCCAGCCCCAAATCAGACATAGCATAAGTTTATCTATTAATACACAGACATAGCATAAGTTTATCTATTAATACAATTATTTGTGGCTTTGCGGTTGGTCATGAACTGGCTGCTCGATGAATCATGTCTAGCATATCTTTAGAGACAAGTGTCAACTTCCTCTTTCTACATGGATAGTTTTAGCTCCCCTCTGATGTACTTAGCAATGTGTTCTTTAAAGGAATCATATCTGCGATACAAGGCTTCCCACAACTGCTTGCATAAGCAAGCATGCCAGTATCTTAAGACTGTCATCATATTTTCTAAAATGGCTCGTCTCTCCTTTTCATTATAAATACACCATGGTCTCCTGCTTCTACGTAACCATTCCATGAAGTTTAATGAATTCCAAAGAACTCTCTTGCCTTTATGGTTGACCCATCTGTAACCCCGCTCATCATAGCCTCCCGTATATAATAGGGGCTCTAAATAGTTTCCTTGCTCCGGCACCCATCGTGGCGCCGTCCACCATCTCCCCTTAATCAGATACTGAGTATATCCTCCGGGAAGTGTTCTATAAGGAATTCCCTTCGTTTCACAACATTAAGAAAATCTCCCAGAGTTTGATTACTAGTCTTATTGTATCCAGCTTCTGTATAAACAGCCTGGATAAATGGAGGTGCCTCGAGCAGTGGGTTATTCATCTCAGGGCTGGTGGCATTGCCAGCTTCCTTTTTAGAATCTGGGTTAGCCTGTGCTTGGGAAACAGATAGCAAAGTGATTAAACAGATTACGCAGAAAAGCATAAAGAAAACAGAACATATTGCTCGCCAGCGCAGGGATCTTCTGGAGGCTCTCATGGATCGGGCTTCTCTCCAGGAGACTGCCTGGGGCTCCGCTTCGAGAAGCTCTGACCCCATCCCTTCAGGCAGTTCCCCCCAGTAGAGCGGCATTCTGCTACAGTTACACAGGGGTCACCGCTGTGGGTGTAGCAAAATCCCTTGTAAAAGAGGATGGGAAGTGTGTGATTGGAGGGAACCAGAATGGTGAGTGTTCATCTGGCACCATCAATAAATAATACAGCATAGCACAGTGGCTAACTTCAGATCGAAGTAAAAATGGAGTCCCATTCTACCTTGCTGTGAGGCGTGGGACACATGACTTCGCCAGGCTAGGATCATTTTCCTGTCTGATTTGAGCAGTGGGAATCAGCCCTCACAGACCTTGCTGCAAGGTTGTCTGAAAGAAAGGAGACAAATTTTCAAGTGATGCTCTGGTCACTGGGGAGCCATTGAGTAATTTTGGCACTGTGGCATGATGAGATCTGAACCATAATGGATTTATGTTATGTTTATTGTTACTATTGATGCACAAAAGACTGCTGTCCTTTGAGACAGTGGATTTTAAGTTTATGTAACCCTTCCTCAGTACCATGATCAAAATATATTCATCCATCACTTTGAAGTTATTTGTAAAAATCTTTCAAGTGGGAAGTCTAACCTGGAAGGGGTAGGGGAGTGGAGCAAAGGAGTATCTAGAAGAGAAGAAATCATTTCAGAGGCTGCTGCCAGGCCAAAAGAGAGAAATGATTGTGGGTTTAGCCTTCCCAATACCTTCCCAATGGACAATGGGCTCCTATGTGCCATAGGAAACAGGTTTTTCTTTATGAGTGCTCGTCCTTATTTTAAACTAACTAATTCTCTAATTCCCTCTCCTCCCTCCATCTAGGGCTTCAAAGATAACCCTTCTGCTTCTGGGACGTCCAGCCTATCAGCCACCAAACCATTACTTCGTCCAAAAATCACAAGAATCTGCCTCAGGGACTTGATATTCTGTATGGAACAGGAAAGAGAAATGAAGTATTCTCGAACCCTATACCTTGCCCTTTTGAAGTAATCATCCATTCATCCATCCATCCATCCATCCATCCATCCATCCATCCATCCATCCATCCAGATACTCACTGTTTACTGCCAAAGAAGATATAGAGAGCACTGTTGCCCTGTCCTGAAATTTACTCTGGAAAATAGTCACCAGTATGGAAGACCTCTGTTTACACTGACAAACTTTTTGTTTATTTGTTTGTTTTTACGCCTTGTCTGTATGTCCTGTGGGTTCTTGCGAATGAGAATTCAGATGCTTCCTGAAAGTCAGTACCAAGTATACTTTATATAGAAGTATCACCTTCCTACCTGCATTTAATTACAGCAGCTAGGGGCTCCCTCTTACCACCTCCGTCTTCTGTTTTTTCACACCATAGCAATAAGGTGCTCCCCTCTGGTACAGGCTGCATCTAGATGTAGGAGAAAGGAAGAGTCAGAATGTATCCTATACTGAACCTGTCTCCTAGTGTTAGATTTTATGCCTGCAATTAGAAGTTAATTAGATAACTGTGACAGTTACCTTCTGGAGTGGAAGTGTAACAAGCCACACAGTAGGGTCAGTTTCAACTTGTGTTAGTTGAGCTAGAATTACAAAGAGAGTGGAGGGGACCATTTGTGCCTGAGATTGCTGACTCTCTGGCTCCCCACACTGCACTGCTTCTGATACTTAGTAAGGGGAATCCTTGTTAGCTAGGTTTTAAAACTTAAATTGCTACTTAATATACCTCACTGAAAAATGAAAAAATTAGAAAGTACTGGAAGAAATATGAGGAGGTCTTACATTCAAATTGACAGGGGAAAAATGAAAAAGGCATTATGAAACAAATGTGTGTACTGTGTGCCCAAGGAGGGTGGCTGCACTTGGAATGCCAAAACTGGTCCTTGTTTTGGTGATGGGGGAAAAAAATTATTGGTCAACCAAAAAAGAAAACCTGGCAAACATTTAGTTATAGTATTTTAAAAGAGGATGGTTTGTTTTTGTATTGTTTTAATTTCTAAGATGGAGCTCTTTCTTTTATAAAGAATCTCCCATTTACTCTATGTTTTAAGCATCTACTGCTTTTCAAAACTTCTAACTGCTGGCAAAACATTCTAGGACTCCCTTCGCATTGTCTACTTAGAGGTGCTTTCAGTGCCTCACCCTTGGGGATGTGGCTCTAAATGTGAGCAACACATTATGCACCGCTCTCTGAAAGCTGATATTCAAAGCACTCCCCCAATTTTTAAAATCTACCTGTGTAGATAGTAACTGATAAAAAATAAGAGTGGGCTTCATTTGTGCTCTCCCCTTTAAAAAAATAGTGGAATTGAAATCACATAGCGAAAGAATGCCACACCCTCCCAGAAAATAATTAAAGGAAAATGCTAGAGAAAGGATTCAGGAGAAACGCCTCTAGTATATCACTCTCCATCCTGTTCTTCCCACGGGGTCTGTTATGGCCGTATTCTATACCATTGTAAGAATTTAATTAGCCACAGTTTTTGTTTTAGCAAGTTATGTAAAATGCCGTAAATTATGTATATGTTAAAGTAACTTAACAAGAAATCTATACCCAAAGTTGTTTTGTATATTTAAATGCTTAGCTTTATTTTTTGTAAAGTGCAGTGTGCTCCCACATTTGTGTAATCGTATTGATCAGATGTTTAAAATTATTTCAAATACACCATTAAAATAATTATTTTATGATTAAAAAAAGCAACAAAACACAAAACTTTGCTCAGTCACTGACTTTGCAGCAGTTTTCATTAATAGCTAGTCCCTGGAGGACTCAGATCTGCCTGGCAGTGAGTCTCTTATTTATTTTGGACTGTGGGCATTTGGTTCTGGAATCTCACTTAAATCTAAGTTGCTTTATCACTTCCTTTGCAATAATTTGCCTGCTGTTTGACTCACAAAGAAAGCTAAACATAGTTATTATGAAAGCTTTTCTTGGCTCATTGAGTTTCTTACCAAGATACTCTTTCAAAATTTTTAATATAAAATCTTTTTGTGATATGCACATGTGTGGTGTGTGTATGGGTGTCTTCCTCTCACCTCTCTTCTTATAGTTGAAAACAAGGACTCACTGGGTCTGGAGCTCACTGTGGCCAGCAGCTGCCCTGGATCTTCCTGTCTCCACCTCTGAGCTCTGGGCTTTCAGGAGCCTACCAGCATGGCTTTTTACATGGGTTCTGGGCATCCACACTTGGACCTTATGCTCACACAGCAGGCACTCCAGCCACAGAACCAATTCCTGAGCCTTTAATGTAAGTTTGGAAACCTGTGGTGCAAGGTGTATATTACACAAATACAGATGTGTGTACAAGATATTCTTCCACACAGTTGGCAAAATAGAAGCTTTGGGGCAGATTTGGATTCCAGATGTGTTGTCTTTAATGTACAATATTAATGAGAATTGAATTTTTTTTATGTGAGTGCTACTGATCCAACTCAGGTTGTCAGGTTGGTGTAGACACACTTTTACCCACTGAGTCGCCTCCCTGGCCTCAATAGTCTTGTTTTTACAGAAGAAATACTGAAACATATTTTTCTATTTTGTGTGTGTGCATTTATGTTTATAGGCATGAACGTGGAGGTGAGAGGACCACCTGTAGGAATTGTCTTCTTTATTATGTGGGACTGGAGATCACTTCAGGTCATCAGGCCTGGCAGCTAGTATCCTTAGCCTGCTGAGCCATTTCAGTGACCCAACAAGCACGTTTGAAACCTATAAAACTTTTCAAGCTTATAATGCATGACATGTTTTATATCATTAGAATTTTGTCAAATGAAAGACTTTTTACTACTGATGTCATGGTTCCAGCAGAAAACACAGCAATCAACATTAAGGCATAATTTTTAAGAAAGTAACAGGACCAAGGAACATGCTGATTTGGACTTTATTACTTTGTCTGTTGTGGAATGAGTCAGTTAAGTGTGTCTACAAGTTTGCCCTCAAAAGTTCTAGTTATATTCTGCAGGGGGAAAAACTATATTGTGTCACATGTCTGAATATAACCTAGTAGAGAGTTTTTACATTGTACCATCCACCTTGTGCTACTCTGTCTTACTTGTCCAATGTCAAACAGTCTTCTGGGAAAACCTGTGTCGAGTTGATTAAGTTTATTGCCTAGTCTGTAGCACACACGGCTTGTCTCATAGTTTAAGCTGGCTCCACTCTACAGAAAGTCCTTGGTGGATGTCCCGGGGTACTGGCATCACCAAAATGCTGGGGTCTCTACAACTGGCTGAATCTTTACCAGTAGTATCTCATGGTCTCTCCTTAGGGACTCTAATGCTGCCACATAGTGCCAGGCCTCAACTTCTCTCCATGAGCCCTTCTATCTTGGGTTTCCACAGCAACTAAGTCTGTAACTTTACCAATGGCCCTACCACACAGTACTAAGTCTCAGCTGCTCTCCATGAACACTTCATACCTTTAAAATCAGTACCACCTGAGTGACTCTTATACTACCAGCATCAGGTAAGAGCATCCCTGGATGCCTCTGGGACATAGCTTCTATGTGCTGACCCAGAGGAAACAGTTCCAGAAGATTTCACCTCTATGATGCCAGTCTCTTCTTAATCACTACTGATTTCTCAGCTTCAGTTGGCAAGTATCAATTGTCACAGAAAACAAAGGTTTTACATTTGAACTCTGGTCTCTTACTAATCACAGCCAATTCTGTTGGCTAGTTCTGTTGTGAACTTGGTACAAGCCAGAGTCCTTTTTAGAAGAGGGAACCCCAATTCAGAAAATTTCCCTACCAGGTAAGCCTGTGGTGCACTTTCTTGATTGATGATTGATGTGGAACGGTTCAGCTCTCTAGGTGGTGCCACCACTGGGGTGGTAGCTCTGAGTGTGACAAGAACACACGGTGAGCAAGTCAGGAAACAGTACTCCCAATGGCCTCTGCTTGTCTTGTTCCTGCCTCTGCTTCCTTCAGTGATGGATTATGTGATGTGGCAGTGTAAACTGAAATAAACCCTTTCCTCCTCAAGTTACTTTTGCTCATGGTGTTTTATCACAGCAATAGAAAACCTGTGACATGTACCTTGGGCAAATTAGTTTGCTTTAGTTTTGTTTCCTCTCGGGGGAAAAAAAGAAAAGTACTTGGCCTATGGAGTGATTGTGATAGTTTCATAAATGATCATGGTTGTATGTAAACCACTCCGGCCAAAATATCATATATAGTAGGAAACATAAGGCAGGAATAATGCATTTTGGAGATTTTATGTGACACAGATTTGCATCCTGCCTAACTACATACAGCACTTGGCTAAACACACTAACCTTAGTGCATTATTTAAATATAATCTTAAGATTTAAGATTCCTGCATGTGCCATTAAGACTGGTACAGTAAGCCACAAAAAGGCTATGAGTAATACAGAGAGCCATCTAATAGGCTGTACGCTCTCTCTCTCTCTCTCTCTCTCTCTCTCTCTCTCTCTCTCTCTCTCTCTCTCTCTCTCTCTCTCTGTGTGTGTGTGTGTGTCTGCATGTGTGCACACACGTGTTTAGTGTGCTGAGGTTTGACCTCAGAGTCTTGCCATACAAAGGTACTACCGCTAAGCTTCATCCTTGTATTAGCTACTTGTTCCTGCAACAACAACAAAAAAAAATACCCAACCAGAGGTCACTTAAGCGAGGAGGGTTTATTCTGGCTCATGGTGTAAAAGATAAGCAGCCCATCAAGGTTGGGGAGGAATGGTAGCAGGGATGTGAAATAGATGGTCGGTCATATGCTATCTGCAGGTGAATGCTGGTGTCAGGACCCCCAGTGAGTGTGATGAGGCAGCTCATATCCAGGATGGATCTTCCCTGCTCAGTTCAAAATTTCTGAAAATATTTAACCAGAGGTGTGTTTTCACAGTGAGTATAAGTCCAGTCAGGTTGACAATTAAAATTAACTGTCACAACCCTTACCCACTGTTCTGGATAAATTTATGTCAATTTGACACAAGATAAAGTCATGTAAGAGGAGGCAACCTCAGTTAAGAAAATGTCTGCATAAGATGGAGCTGTAAGAAAGCCTGTAAGGATGCCGGGCGGTGGTGGCACACACCTTTAATCCGAGCACTCAGGAGGAGGCAGAGGCAGGCAGATCTCTGTGAGTTCTAGGCTAGGCTGGACCCACAGCCTTCAAAACAATACAGAGAAACCCTGTCTTGTAAAACAAACAAACAAAAAAGGCAGTTTCTTAATGACAGATGTAAGAGGACCCATCTCATGGTGGGTGGTACCATCCCTAGGCTGGTGGTCCTGGGTTCTATAATAAAGCAGACTGAATAAGCCAATAAGCAGAACTCCTCAATGGCCTCTGCATCGGCTCCTGCCTGACTTGAGTTCCTACCTTGACTTCTCTTAATATAATTCTGGAAATATAAAACAAATAAACCCTTTCCTCCTCAAATTGCTTTTGGTCATTGTATTTCATTACAACAATAGGAACCATAACTAAGATATCCGCATTTATGACTTTGTTTACTAAGTTCCCCATAGGATTGGGAGCAGTAATTGCCATTCCTTCCAAAATTTTTATTGAAAACAGTAGAAACATATTGGTCACATTGAAACTGTAAAATGGCACACGAAAATTCTTCTCTTGTAGGTAGGAACATCCATTCCCTTCTCGAGATTTGTCCGTTTTTATCAGTCTCATATATATCACTCCATACAATTCCTATGTTCTTACCCTCTTACTTGCATATGACAGCATACTGACTTATCTTAACCTAGTTTCACAATTTCATTATTTGTAATTCTACCTGTCCTGTTTTCCAGACCAGCCATGCTAGTAGAATCTTGCTATAATCTTTAGGGGAAAACAAATTTCCCTTGAGGGATTTTGTAAATAGTCTGTGTTTGTTTATTATTTTGTAAATTATACTATTTCACTACAAAAATCCACCAAAATATGTCTGTGGGTTCCTTTATCCCTCCACCAAATGTGTACTGTAAGAGTTACAGGAGAGGAGAAATACCCTGTGCAAATTACTGGGGTGGGTGGTGAGGACAAGGTAAGTAAAGTCATCTATGGGAAGGACCCACTATGTCCGCTGTAACTCTGAAGTTTCACTGGCGTCATCCTCCTACTGTGAACCAACCTGACTTCACGATCACTGCAACCTCTTCTCCGTACAGTTTCTATTCATAATTAAAAACAATGGGTGGCAGAGCCAGGATGTCATCCAGGCCTAAGCTGAGTCTGTGGTCCAGCCACAGATGGGGTCTGTGTTGACATCTGTGGCCAGTGGCACCTCAGGGGGCCTTAGGAATCATGCAAGGTGAAATCTGGGCTATACTGAGTCAATCCTGTCCCTCACTGCCCTGGGAAAGCGGCCTTGCCTCTCACTGCCCACTACAGCAAGAGATCTGGTCCCTGCATCCAGGAGAGAGGGCCCCCACCCTCACCACAGGTGAGAATGAAGCTACCCTGAGGGCATGCGTGCAGGGGAGCTGTCTCATCACTGCACCAAGGCAGGGGCCCCAGTGGCTTGACCTGACCTGCCTGGCTAACACCCAGACCCACAAATGTGCCTGGAGTTGACCCACCCTAGCATGTACCCCCATCTGGGTCCTGCTGGAGCTCCTGAGGATCTTGTCCTACAGAATGATGCCCACAAGATCTCCAAGACAGAGGATACCCTAGAAGAGCTCTGGTGAAGATCCACTGAGGATGGTGTACCAAAAGACCAGAGGCCTGAGCCAGACCAATGACTCATTGCAATGGACAGCTGCCAGCCAAGCTAATGGGACAAAGGGGTACACTATATGACACACTGAAGCCCCCAATGCCATCAGGGTGGATGAAGAGGTGATGGAGAAGCAGAGATTTTGCTGTTTGGGGAGTGATGTTGTTGTTCTGATTTGGTTTATTGGGTTCTCTCTCTTTTTGTTCTTACTTTTGTTTGCTTACTTTGCTTTCTTTTGTGGGAGGAGGGATGTAGTGGGGGTGAGGGAGAATATGGGGAACTGAGAGGTGAACAGAATTGGGGTGCATGATGTGAAACCCCCAAAAATTCAGTTAGAAGTTTCAAAAACAAACAATGGGAGGTCAGAACAGGAATGATACGAATTTGACATTCCGAGGTGTGATCATGGATGGGGTTGCCTGGATACCCAAATGACTCAACCAGCCTCTAATAACCTTTTGTAAATGAGGTAATAAGCAGGGCAAAAAAACAAGGTACAGTGTGTGTCCTGGAAGGCTGTTCCTGTCAGAAATAGAGAATACCAGCATAAATACTCACACATAACTTTGTGGGTTCTTTTCCAAAATATGGTGAGAATAGGTTTCACAGAACCTTTAGGGAAGAAATATAAATGAGTCACTCAGGTTCAGCAAAGAAATTAATACTGGTCTTGGTTTTAGAAAAAAGACATTTTTAAAAATGTGCCCCACAGTAATCATGTGGAGGTCAGAGGACAGCACCCAGGAACCCATCCTTTCTTTCCATCTTTCCAAGGGTTCTGGGTATCAAACTCAGCTTGCCGAGGTTTGCTTAGCTGAGCCACCTCACTGGCCCTTAAGAGTTTTAATCATATTCTAGGGCTTTAGAAAAAACAACATGAGGCATAAAGGCATACTAATTGACTTAAGTATAATTAAGATAAAACATTTTCTTTGACTAATTTTTAAGAACCATAGAGGAGGGAAATGGGAGATAACATTGAAATGTAAGGGGGAAGCAAATCATACTTTTCTACTGTTCAAACTGTCAAAGAGTACATGAGACTGGTAAAGGGTCCACCTTGGTCTAGATAAATTCTTCACAATTTGTGTTTCAAAGAAATGACTAAAAGTGTCACCTGTAAACTTTTTTCTTGGTTATAAGGATCATATAATCTTAGGAAATTTGGCAAATAACATATTAAAAATAATGTGCTTTGGTGTATTTCTCTTCAGGCTCCTGTGCTGACCATAGGTGTTTTTAATCTACTGATGCAGCTCTCTGTCCTTTTGAACATATCACTGGAGACACCAGGGGGAGTGAGGAACCGTGCCAGTGGGAGAGAGACTTAAAGCTGTACAGTTCCATCAGTCAGTGTGATGTGGAGGCCATGTTTCTCATTCCCTCAAGGGATACATACATAGATTTGCTTTAACTATTTCATCTTGCTGACCTGAGGAACAAGGTGAATATGTCCTTCCTGTCTCACTACTAACAGTGGTCCTTTACATGTTGTGGTAATATGGGAAAAATTGTCATAATTCTATGCAAATTATTTAGCAGATTGAAAGCTAGTATAGACATTAAGCCTTGAGGTAGATGCCATGGGACAAAGGACTATCTCTGTTGGTAATATTAATGAAGGTTTTTCATGAAAAGAAAAGGAAGGAACTTGCTAGTTGGCTTCTTGAAGCCTTTTGTGTTGGGCCTTCAATCCTAAGGCTGAGAGGGTCTCTGTGATTGTTTAAATGAGATTGGCACACAGAGGCTCACATGTTTGAATAATTGGCCCTCAGTTGGTAGAACTGTTTGGGAAGGGTGGGGAGGTATGGACTTGTTGGAGGAAGTGTGTCACTGGGGACTTTGAGGTTTCAAAAGCCCAAGACCTTATGTTATCTCAGTCTCTCTTCCTTGTGCTTGTAGATCTGATGCAAGCTCTTGCCTACTGCCCCAGCACCATGTGTTGTCTGCAGGTAACTAAGACACTATCCAAAGAAACTTTAATGTTTAGTTGTTGATATAAATATCTTTCACCACACAGATGTTAGTAATGTTAATTCTTATAAAATTATATGTTTGCCTCACTCCCAAAGGGAGGGAGACAATTGATATATGATCAACAAAGTCTTTTCTGTGACTTCCTTCAGCAAGGCTCCTGATCCTAAAAGTTCCATAACTTCCACAATGTCACCAACTCGGGACTAAGTGTTCAAATACCTGAGCTTATAGCATTCATTTCTCATTAAAAACACTACAGATGGCTAGTGTTAATTGTTAGCTTCATAGAATTTTGAATCACCTGGGAGATATAGCTTGAGACATGCC